GCCAATTTCGAAAAATCCTTCACGAAATTCGCATAAAATCCGGCCATGCCAAGGAAACGGCGAACTGCCTTCAAGTTCTTCGGAGGAGGGAATTGAACAATCGCCTCTACTCTCTCCGGCAAGATTTTAATCCCTTCTTCGGATAGAGAATGGCCTAAAAACTTAATCTCCGACTGCGCCAAGTGAACCTTATCACGGTTCAACGTGAAACCCGCCTTTTCCAGGTGACTAAACACTTCTCTCAGGTGGCCTATGTGTTCCTCCATGGAACGCGAATATACCAGCAAATCATCCATGAAATTGTAGACATACTTATGTTTCAAATCTCCAAACAACGAGTCAATCACTCGCGAAAGCACTTGACACCCTATTCTTATGCCCATAGGCAACCTGGTGAATTCAAATAACCTGAACGGAGTACAAAAAGCCGTAGCCTTACGGTTTTTAGCCGACAACGGAATTTGGTGGTACGCGGAGTTCAGGTCCAAGATGGAGAAGACCTTCGCCCCATGAAAATTTGCAAACGCATGCTCCAGATTCGGCATGGGAAATGCATCAAAGACGACCTTCTGATTAAGAAGTCGATAATCCACTACCATTCGATATCCGCCCTGAGACTTCGGGACTAAGAAGGCTGGACTTGCATACTGGGAAAAACTTTTCTTCACCACGCCCTTATCTAGCAACTCGCGAACTATCTCTCGCAGGGCTTGCAAACGGTGGGGTGAGCATTGGTAAGGCCGGGAACGAACCGGTACGTCATCAATCAGATCCAACTGACACACCATGCCCTTCACCGTACCTAACTGATCAGAAAATAACTTCGGAAAATCTCGCACCAACTGATCAAGCTTACGCGACTCGGAAACACACAATGACCAGGTTCCCGCAACTACGCCTTCCCAGGCCTCTTCCGTACATGGAAAACTCTCAGAATGCATGGAGGAAACATCCACTGGTACAAAAACATAGTGATGCGATTTTTCAAACACAAAGGAAAACGAAGACGTCGCAAAGTCTAGCTGCATTTTTGCAAATGACAGAAAATCCAGTCCTAATATACAGGGCACAGGAGAATTATCAAACACCAAGAAATCGTACTTCATCAAAAAAAGTGAATCTTTAACTGCAATGAGACGGCCTCCTTGATCACACGGCTGTGGCCATTAGCCGTGTTAATCTTATGGTTTGCCTCCTTTATCACACACGGCAATCCCAGGCTCTGAATCTGCTGAAAAACGTCTCGTCAAACGAAGGAAAACGACGAACCCGAATCCAAGATGGCTGGCATACAATAATTTTTGATAGTCAACATCAGCCATGGGATATGGCCCCCATCTTTTACGGGCAAAATTCGCTGAACAGACCTCTCACTCTCAGGCGCTCGGAGCTCAAGAGGATCTTTCACCTCCGAGCGCCTCCCCCGTTTCCCTGCCTCCTTACAACAGGGGCGTTGGAAGACAAACAATTCTTAGCAATGTGACCCACTCGGGTACACTTATAACATCTAACCTCCCGGCTACGCGGCCGAGAACTCTCAGTCGTGACCATACTAATTGGACATCTATCCCGCTCATCCCGTGAAACCTTCTCTCCGGGAACGCGACACTCTGCACTCTCCCTGCACTGGTTGACAGCACGGGCTTCAGCGACACGGCTCGCGAGTGCATACAACTCCTCTACCGATCTCGGTTCAGACTCGAAAGTCAACCAAGGTCGCACACTGGGGTGCATGTTCTGAACAATACGACAGACTAATGCCGACTCAGAAACGTGGTATTCAAGGATACCCGCGGCATTCACTACAGACGTAATGAATTGGGCCAAGTCTTCTCTGTGACCTTGAAACAGGTCCAAGACATACTTTGACAAGAGACCCTCTCGGATGCGAGGAGGAAGAAATACAGACAGAATATCTGAACAAACCAATGCCCAGTCAGAAGATAGCCGCAAATGTCCACTAATTATATTCATAAGCCTTCCAGCAGTTCTCGCGACTAACAGGGCCAAGAATTCCCCATCTGTTACTAACTTTAGGTCATAGACCTGCTTGGCTCGAACTAAAAATCGAAACACTCGCTCCGGCTCGGTATCAGTCAAAATGGGTATACTCCTCATCAATTCAGAAACCACATTACCCCGTAATTTACTCTGGGCGTAACTACTTTGGGCATGGACCTCGCCCGCTTGACTCTTTATAGCACTAGGTCCCGCAACGTCCGTACTCGCGGCAAACTTATCTGTGATCTGAGGAGGTAGGCAGACTTCCAGCGCTCTCCACTTTTCCTTCAGCTGCTTACGCAATTCGTCCAAGGTGCCTTGAACGGACACACCCAACTCCGACGCAAACTTCTCAGCCTCCTCTCTCGGAAGATTGTGGATCCAAGTGAGTGGCATCGCAACAGCATAGAACAACACCAAAAAAATATATATGAGTCCACGGTCAACTCTACACTCCACAAGCAAGTCCTGATGAAAGACCCCAAGATCTGGTCGAAACCCCAGAACACAAAAGGAACGTTAACTACCGTTAACCGCGTTAACTTCGTTAACCATGCTCTGCTACCACTTTGGGCCGTGTCCCTTGACCCTGTGGGTAAAGAACCCAGTTCTTCCCACTCAAACCCGTGAACCCCTGCTCAAATGGGTAAGGGACAGGCTCATAAGAAACGACTTGCTTGTACATGATGTACTATGCTTCCCCAAGGTCGAGTAGGGGATCTCGAGAGAGGAAAACCACTGTCGGCACTATGGGCCAAGCTGGACGGATCGGCTAGTCCGAACTGGTAGGGAACAGACAGCACAAGTATACATAAATACAACTGGCGTTTCCAAACATATAAATAAATATATATTGATAATGTAAGAATACAGGTGGACTCTGCCTGATGGGCAGGGACTGGTCAGAACATATGATAAATAATTAATACAGCTACACTGTGCCTAGCCGCACAGAACTCAAGTCAGGCTCGCCTCATGGCGTCATTCTACTCCTCCAGTACAAACATGTACTTACGCAAGCCTTGAGGGCACAAGGAAACATAAACAGGTTACAAACACGCCTGAGGGGCGATCTGCTGTTTTACACAACCCAAAACAAAACCAAATTATCTCACGCCACACGGCATTCATAACTGAAAGGAAACCATCTACAACAGTAAGTCACTTACTTGCGTTTCCTGAATTACAACACAAAGTTTTACCTCACGACTTGATCCAGCCTCGATCACGTCGTGAGGGCACTCTTCCCCCTTCAGACACCGCTACGGGCCGAAACCAAATTTCACAAGATCAATTCAAAATAACGAAACTGAATTTGGACGCAGTGATGTTACCTTCCTGAAGTCAACGGGGAGAGAGAGAGAGACGTTCGTTCTTAGTAAGCAGGAAGACTCGCACTGCGCCCAGGAGGGGGGGGGACAAGGTCAGCTAAGACTTTAAGTGGAACGAAGGAGGAACGGCTCGCATCCTGGCGTTTCGGGGGGGGGGACTCCAAGGAACTTCACGGAGAAGAACCGTTGCACTGTTCACTAGTTTCTTCCTCAAATTTAAGTCCAATTTACTGGTAAAAAGATTCTTCTTCTTGCTAAATGCAGCTTTTGCCATTGCAATCCTGGATTTAATTTCACTAGTACACCTTCCATCATCTGTTAACAAGCTACCCAAATATTTAAAACATTTCACATTCTCCAGTTGTTTTTGGTCTATCTTTATTGTGACTGGGGTTGGTTGTCTCGAAATTTTCATTACTTTTGTTTTCTCCACATTCATTTCCATGCCATAGCACCTTCCAATTTCAATTAGTCTATCAATCATGCCCTGTAGCACAGTTTCTTCCTTAGCCATTAACACAAGGTCATCTGCATATTTCACAGTTTGAATAATTCGCACTCCTAATTTGAAGTCTCCGAGCGCATGCAGAGCTTCCTTGGTAAGGCATTCGCTGTACAAGTTGAACAGAACTGGTGATAAACAGCATCCTTGTCGAACTCCTCTTCCAATCTGCACACTTCTTGTCTCCCCACTGTCCAGTCGTACTCTTTCTTTCTGATCCATGTACAATTTGCTGATCAATCTTCTTTCACGCCAATCGATACCTGTTTCCTTTAGGATCTGCATTAATTTGGTCCAATTTACATGGTCAAATGCCTTCTGCCATTCTATGAAACAAACACACAGTTCTTCATCTATCTCTAAAGTTCGTTCTGCTATAATTCTCATCATCCCAATTGCATCCCTGGTTCCTTTTCCTCTTCTAAATCCAAACTGATCTTCTCCAAGTATATCCTCTATTTTCCTTTCAATTCTTCTTTTAAGTATCTTTGCTATTATTTTTGCTCTAGAGGACATTTGCTCACAATGCAACCATAGCATGTACCATGTTCTTTTAGTAAGGAATCCATTTAATGTCTTTTACTTTCACAAGCGTCTAAATTTCACATAATGAGGAATTTTATAATTTCTACTTGTCAGTAATATGGTGATCAGAGCAAAGAGAACAAGAAGGCAGGACATGGACCATGTACTGGAAGGTAAGACATTCATACAAATTGTGGTCAATAAACCTAAAATAAAGAGACGCTTGGAAGGCTTAGGCATAGATGGATAAGTAATACTAAGGCATATCTCATAAACAAACGCCGTAATTTGTCTTTTCACTTCACTGTTCACTTTACAGTGACCAGAACAAAAGGGACAAATCAACAGCACATTGGAGATGTAAGAAATTCATACAAAATTTTAGTCAGAAGACCCATAGAAATTGATGGTTTAAAGACCTATGTGTAAGGCATACATGGGAAATAATATTAAACCGTGTGAACTAGACTTAACTGACATAGGACAGGGTCTCATTTCATGAGGTTGTGTTCATAGAGATGAGCTTTTAGGTTCAATAAAAGACAGAATTTCTTGGCTAGCAGAGAACATAGCTTCTCAAGGCTATGGACTTAATGTGCAGCTGATTTTATAGTTCTGTTTGAGATGAAATTTCAAGAAGTTTATACTGTTATATATTTATATTTAGTGAAATTTAGTGCAAGTTGAACTCTAAGATTAGCCTTCCTGATTTTTCCACATGAACCTGCAGCCCTGAAGATGGAGTCAGCATGTTCTTGCAAAATATTGGTATCCACTTCCATGACTACACTGTTACAACCCCAAAATTTGGAATCTGATCTCTCACGGTCACAAAAACCTAATGTCTTAATTAATAACCCCTTTGGGAAAGAACATTACAGACCCTCAAGATGGAGGCAGCATGTTTCCCCAGAACAGTTAATCTCCAAGATATCTCACAAACTGAACACTGACCACCATGAAATCTGAGAACATATTATGTCCCTGTGAAACAGTGGCATCTACTGCCAAGGCTATGCCATGTCACAAACCCGAAGACCACAATCTAATCACTTACCACTGTGAAAACCTTCAATTAATAAAAGAATTTCTCACATTTTTTAGCTCAGAATCTCCCTCATCCGAAAGCACAAGATCGTTCCCATAGCGGCTGTCTCTCTGCCTAATGCATTCTGCTACAGTGTTCAGTTGCAAAGTTAGAGACTCCAGCTCTCGCTCTGTTGCACATTTTTCTTCTGTTAGTTTTGCAATCTCATTTTCAACTGCTTGTAAGCACTGCTCCAGAACATCTTGCCATTGAGACACTTCTGTAAACCTAAGAATGAAATACATTCAAAGTGAGCATCACATTACTTTGCAACAGGAGCACAGACACTTACACTTATACAAATCATGTGCTGGAATTCACACGCAGCACATACATCTGTAATTGTAGAAAAATTAGATTTTTGGTCACTTTTAATATTCTACAAAAAGAGGCTGAAATGCACGTTGCTCTAAGTTCATTGAGAAATGTGTCTTTTTTGTAAAGCTTTTCATATGTTTCTTCAGGGAGTTGCAACCTCAGTGAATCATTGCTGTGTCTTCAAAAATTAAAATGGAACAAGTTAGTAATGTGATCCAGAGTAATCTAAAAATCGTTGTTTGCTTTCCATGCAATACGGACAATTCTTCTTAATGACGAGACAGCATTACACAATTCATTAATTGCTACACCATGGGCCTCTCTTAAAATCTTCTATATAAAGTAATATCGAATTTCCCTATTGTCTATGGAAATGCACACGAAGTATGTCTAACCACCGATTCAATGTTTTTGAAAATATTAATATTTTATCTTGTTATAATACTTCCAATTTTTAATTTTTATATAATTTGAACTTTTGTATTTTTATATAAGCAATTTTAAAATTGTACAATTAATAGTGTTATATCCATTTTATGATTGCAGTTAAATGGTAGATTTTTGTTGATATGTATTTGCCTGATGATGGCCAATAGTGGGCGAAACATGTAGCAAAGCCACAGCTGTATGTTGACTTTGATGCTTTACTATTTGCTGTGTTGTGACGGTTCATTAAAGAGTTGTAATCTAAAATTTGATCATTTCCTTTCCAAAACTAGCACATCATACAAAACAGCATACACAGCAGAAAATACAGATATTATTTAGATGTACAACTTTATTTTTTATATTGTGATATGTAAATCCATTGCTAGGCAATGCCCGCAACACACATGGCCAACAATACAGGATCAGTGTGTTCTCTGTGTCTGCATATTGGACCGTTGCTAAACAACACAGTGACATCACAAAACAACAGTGGGTATCAGTCACATGACATATGTTATCTGAAATGCGTGTTCATGCCACGTCTATATAAGTGAGCAGAATTTTCAAGCTGAAATAGTAAGCAGCAGGAGTAGAGAAGAGTACAGAAAGTCAGCCTGTGAAGATTTAACATGTGATTTAAAGACTTTGTGTGCTGTAGTATAGTGATATTTGGAGTGTGTAATTTAGTGAGACTTTTATAGTTCCTGTGTTTTAAATCCATTACCAGGAAACGGATAGTGAAGACTAGTGGAAATGACTGAGAAGATTAGTGTGGAGTGATTTGGGGTGTGTAAATCATCAATAACATAATTATTTGTAGTTAGAACCTGTAAGTGGTCGATAAATCCAAGAACCAATCCGAACTTGGTCCGTATTCACTAATACGCATGACAACATTAAGAATACTTAATAAGAAATTAAAAGTATATTGTGACTATGCATGTGATTAATTCCATACATTACATTTTTACCTGCAATAAAAGGAATGGGATATATAAAATAGCAAGAAATGTATGTGTGAAATATGTCTACTCCACTGCAATAACACTCGATTTCCACTTTTCTTTCCTTAGGGAATAACAAGAGACCATTCAACACACTTTGGATATTCGGTACTAAAAGTACGATATTTGCCGGTGTCATTTTTCAAAGAAACAATCTTTGCTTCATCAGTGCTCTTCACAGACGGAGCACTTTTCGGTAGAGAAGGCATCTTCGGTATTAACAACCAATACGACTGGCCAGAGGAGAATCTTCATGGTGTAATCCATTCTACACACCAGCAGCAGTTCAGCATCAACGTGTGGCCGGGAACTGTTGGTGATTTTGTCACATGGGATTATAGGCAATCACTACTCAGGTTTCTTCTTGCATAATCTGCCAAAGTTAACGGAAAATGTACCAATGGCAGTCAGAGCATGAATGTGGCACATGAATGATGGTGCTCTGGCACATTTTATCCCTGTCATTTGAGATGTTCTCAAGGGCACCTATGATGACTGAAGGGCAGGTAGAGGAGGACCCCTGCATAACCTCCACCCTCACCAGATTTGAATTCTCTGGGTTTTTACTTGTGCAGACACCTGAGATGTTCTCAAGGGCACCTATCATGACTGAAGGGCAGGTAGAGGAGGACCCCTGCATAACCTCCACCCTCACCAGATTTGAATTCTCTGGGTTTTTACTTGTGCAGACACCTGAAAGCCCTCGTGTTTGCAGCTCCTGTTGACAACAAAGAGGCACTTCATCATCGCATTGTGGATGCCTGTCAGGCTATATGCAACTACATTATAAAGGGTTCTGACAATGGTGTATAACACACAGAACTACTGGGTAGACAACACATATATTCACAAATTTTTTCTTAATTTCTTTGCATCGGTGCTTTTTGCTGGTTAGGTTGGCAGTACAAATTTATACGTCCTTCTCTATCCTAATTCCATGCATGGGCATGCTTTATCACAATTTCTATTGCATATTTTCTTGTTATCTCCCGTTGAATTAGCCTGCTCTCAGGCGATTAAATAGTTGTGTAAACCTAACAGCGGTTGCCCAGTGATTGAGATTGGCTCTAGGTGTCTTCCCTCCTCACCTGAGGACGGAAACAAATCCAGTTTCTGAAGCATAGTGTTTTATGTTTTCCAGAATACTGAAGAAAGTCCAAAAACCCAGTAATTCTGTGTATCCGCAACTACCCCGGCATTCTTTAAGGGATGCACCTGACAATGGTAATGCATGTAGAGGCGTGCATTGAATCTCATGAATGATCCAAAATCATTGGGTTTTCGGACCTTGTTCATCATCCGGTATTCTAGAAGCTATAAAACGCAATGTTTAAGAAAGTGGATCTGTGTCCGTTCTCAGGTGAGTTAGCTCTTTCTAAGGGACCTCATCTGAGGACGGTAACAAATCCACTTTCTTAAACATTGTGTTTTCTGTCTTCTAGAATACCGGACAATGGACAAACTCTGAAAACCTAGTAATTCTGAGTATTACACACCATCATCAGAACCCTTTAGAATCTACTTGTGGATGATGTTTTGAGCATTTTGCTATAAATGTAATCTTGCAGCTATAATTCACAAATTAAATGTATCCAGACACATGTCGATATGGACATGATTTCTTGTCTTCGTATGTGAAACTCGTGTCCAAAATTTGCCCGCAACTTTCAGTTACATGCTCTATGTATATATACTGCATTTCTCTGTGTACCTGTCATGAAGTCGAGCATCATTATGGTAAGTGTCCCACTTGGTCCTGAGGGCAGTTTCATTGCGCAACTGTCGTCCATCGGCCCTCAGATTGAATGACGCAGATTGTTGAGTGTCCGCAATCTGACGCATCTGCCATGTTCTCGCATACCAATCTGGAAGAGCAACATGCTCAGTCGGTTTCTTGAAGGTCACCACAGACATGTCTGCTCGCCTTCTGTCTCAGCGAAACCTGTTTACAAGTGAATCAACAGAATCTGGAAGGAGGATAGTAAAATTTGAAATAGTTTGTATTGTGTACTTGCCTATGCATAACATTTCATGGCCGTTTTCATTATGGAATATCAAAATCCTTTTAATATTGCATGAGAAAAATTTTGGGAGTACATACTGACCCCCAAATATAGCACTTAATATATTGTGATATAGATTGATAATTTTAGAGCTGTGCTTTCATATTTTACAAAGAAAATGCCCGTAACATGGTAGTTCACTTAATTTCAATCAAATAAGGTCTATTAACATTTTCTTTAAATTTTGTAAAATTCTTATTACACCTCACAAGAGGCGTTGTCCTTTAGAATTGGTATGGATTGCATCAGATTGATCAGATTATTGGATTTACGATTGCATCGGTTAGTATATCGCCACAATATGGAGACTGAACAAATGATGTTACGCCTGCTGGCTGAAATAAGAACCGACCAAGAATACATGCAAGAAATGATGAAAGAAATGAAAGACGAAATCAAAGAGGACATGAATGCCAATAGAAAAACCGACCGAGAAGAAAGGAAGGCTGAAAGAAAAACTGACCGAGAAGATCTAAAGGAAACGATGAAAGAAATTACGAACATAAAGCTAAAAGAGATGTGCGAAAAAATCAAATCTGGACAAACGTAAATGTGGGAAGAAACGAAAGCCGTAATATAATCCATACAGTCAGAGAGGGATAAGACAAACCAACGGCAAGGTGAAAACGTCATTAAGGCCACAAGACACAGAGTCTCCAGAAAATCTGCCAAGAGATGACCGCATGCCACGAAGCAATGGAGGCAGATATAGAGAAGATTTAGCCCAATCCAGGAATGATGCAGTCCATAGGGGAGCATCAAGAGTTCCCCAAGGGATACATCGCAATGATGCCGGTAGGAGGACTAAGAAAGTGGTGTAAGGACCGGAATCTGGCCGCGAGGCGCCACCAGAAGCCGAAGGGAAGAGTCGAGGCAAGTTGCGAATCCCGGATAAGATTGACTGTTGCTTGCAGGAAGATGACCCATCGTGCCAGAGTAGTATGGCGGAAGAGGAACATAGAAAAGATTGTACCAGGGCCAATGCGGTACAAGAAATCCTAAGAGGACGGACTTTCGGGAGGAGACGTCAGCCGAAACCGGAAAGCAACAAGGGCATAAGAAATCAAGATGTTGACTTGAATATGCCATTATATTCGCTGGAATATTACAGGATTGCAAGAACTAGCTTCATGATGTGCAAAATCACATGAAGAATTTTTAACCATATTATACTCCATAACTTTCGTTTTATAATAAGTTTATAATTCATTGTATTTTTATACCATGTATTTTATAATGTAACAGTTATCAAGTATCCAGCTTTACTATCACAATGAAATGAAGTTCAATAGTGTGCGAATACTGTAATGATGTGTTTTGCCTGATGATGGCTTTAAAAGCCAAAATATGTAGCTGAGCTAAATTTTGCCTTGACCGTCGTATTGCTGTGTTGCGACAGACTCTAATAAAAAAATTGCTTATGTTAATGTTTTACTGATATTTTCATGGTGGGGGCTAAGAACGTTGAGCATGTATGTATATACATATTGTGAAAGATTGTTTCATACGCTTTCCTAAAACTGGAAATTCTGTACGTCTGGTACTTAAAGAAATATACGTACTGCTCTTTCTCATATTTATTGCCCTTTCCGTATTCTGCATTTCTTAAATATGAAGAAACAAACGAGACTGTGTTTGGATTACTTTCCCTTGCAGACACAGAGAGGCAGGCACACAGACAGAGAGACATATAAAAATGGATGGATGGATGGATGGATGGATGGATGGTAAGAAAGTCTAGGAAAAGTCAGATACAAAATTCGTTTTCAAGTCAACACAGTAACTCATACATACACTTTACAAAATTACGAGGTATTCAGTAAATTTTCTGCTGAAGTTTCTGCTTTTATCACACAATTTACACACTGTCTTCATAGAAACTGAAGAGTACTTTTGCACAGGGAAAACTAGTTATGCATTCCCATGGCAATGCTTCAACAAATGATCAGTAACTCCATAGATCAATAAATACACCACAGTAGTCATTCTGTCACGGTCACCATGGCAACCAAATAGCTCCACATTAAGACAATGAGAATTAATTGAACAGAAATTCAGTTTAGAATATACATGCAGTTGGCAAGGAAATAATCTTAAATAAATTGGTCAAAACACATTTATTTCAGTTACTTTACAGACATATTTAATATTAAGTAACATTTCCAAATATGTGAGTAATGGTGAAAACAGTGCACCAAAATCAGTGGCCCATGTGTTATTTTTACATGTTTGTATTTGAAAGAAATAAGTACCTTATTGGCCAGATTAATTGAATTCTCCTTTAAATATGAAAATGCAATAATTTGCTTTGATATGAAATAAGGCAGCAAACATGATGGAACCAAGTAGGAAATAATTTGGGAAAATATAAATATTGTGGTGTATAGACCTGTTGCTAAGCAGTGACATGGCTGTCGATAGGTAATGTCCGCAAAATTCACACACACACAACAATAAAACAATGGCGTTTTATATGTGGTTCGTGTCATGACTGTTGATATGCAACAATGAGGTAAATACACCTCTACAACAATAGAGGCTGTATTTTCTCTGGGATCTGTGCCGAAAATTGACACTACAGTAATTCACTTACTGTGTGACTCTCCTGAAAAATGAATATGATGAATTTAATGTGTTTTAAGTATTATAAATTACCTTAACCAGTGTGAACCGGGAGCCATTTCCTCGGAAGTAAAGCGGCCAGAGCATGAAGCTGACCACTCACCTACAACTAGTGCTGAGGTCAAGAAAATGTGAATCTATACATCCACTTCCCCATATGCTTTCATGGCTTAATACTTAATTAGTAAAGCACAGGGACAACTTTGCCTTTTTACCTGAATGCTATACTTCACATTGGTTACTACAGCAAAGGTTAAGCAGTATGTACACTAATGAAGTACAACTGGACATGATTCACATTTAAAGTGAATTCAGAAGAAATGCTGTGAGGGTGAGGCAACTGTACAATGAAATGTATGTTGAACGAAGCATCCTTCCAGTCCATACAATAGGTAACATTTGTCAGAAGCTACTGGCAACAGAAAGCTGGAATACACCGAATCGTCAATCATATGGAAGCTCCATATGCCCCCTGGGAAGATAAAACATTCTGAACTGAATAACAGCGAGCATTCCTTGAATTTAATCTGCTAGTAATTTCTTTAGAAATTAACTTTTGTCAGTGACTATCACAACCAACTTTAACTTTCCCACATTTAAAAATGATCTATTACTTATGTTTACATTGTGACTTCATCCCACAGTCACATTCTGTTAATGAGCCATCTACATACTTGTACAGTAGTTTATCCTGGGTTTACTTGTAGTCCAACTTCCTTACTAATGTCTAATAAACTTCTGGGGTTTTCTGTATGGTATTTTGGTTTTTACCTAAAAATTTACAACACAACATTATGTTCAACATCGTTTATTAGCTACGGTACATTTAAGATACACAATAATCAGGGAAATGGCCACTAATGCCAAAATAAGAAAATAAAATCTGTCACTAAATGATAACCAGTCACCTGAGGATGAGAGTACAGTTAACACTCGAAACCTGTGTGTTAAATATGCCTCAGACAATGGACAGCATACAACATATGTTTGCATAATGAATGAAGTGTTATCAGAAGCTTTGAAGAATCAGAAAATCAACATCACTGGCTGAGAGCAGAAGCTAGCAATCCCCATTCAATTCCAGTTCATGCTGATTTTCTTGGATTGTCCTAAACATGTCCTTTAAAATGGTGTTGAAAATCAATGGTGATAACACATCTCCTTGATTCTGTCCATTCTGAACAGGAGGTGGACAGACTTTGCTGTAGGTTCCATTCAAACATGAGCTATGAAAAAACAGCAGACAAACAATCTCAGTCGGTGATATAATCAAGTCTAAACCCTTATTGGGGCCAACAAGTGATGATTTAAATAAGCATAAAATTATTATTCTGGGTGACAGCCATGTGAAAGGTTGTTACGAAAAATTGGCAAGCATCTTAGGAAACGAATTCAGTGTTATTGGGATTTCGAAACCTAACGTGAACGTGAGTAACATTACTGATTATAAGTACATAAAGGCTGAAAAACTTTCCAAAAGAGACGTGGTGATTATCTGGGGTGGTGCAAGGGATGTAGCTAGAAATGAAACCAAGGAAGGGTTAAGATCTACTGTGAAACTTATCAGATTTTTAACTAAAACCAATGTCACTATAACATGTGTTCCCCATCGCTTTGATCTCCAAGCTGAATCATGTGTTAATAAGGAAGTAAAATTGTTTAATAGAAAGTTACAGAAGTAAATGAAAACTTTTGATCATGTACATGTCTATAGTATAAGTGAAAATAGAGAACATTTTACCTCGCATGGTTTGCATATGAATTTTGAAGGCAAAGTCTGGATTACAAATAAATGGGCCTCTAGCATCTTACACATTTTATCAAGCTTACAAACTTCGCCAGCTACTCCTCTACCTTGGATAAAGGAAACTTAAAATGGCCACATGGAATATGAAAAGAAAAATGAGTCAATGATGAAAAAACCAAGGGATCAGAATGTAAGCCTGTCAAAAAAGGAAGCATATTGCAGTGTTCCTGATTCAAAAGTGCTCAGTGAGGACAATGAAGAGTTAATTGACTTAATTGAAATAGTTGGATCACCACCAGTAAAGGATAAGGGAACAAGATAAAAACTCTGATATGGATGAAGATAACTCTAAGTGTGTTGAGCTGGAAAGTATTTATGGTCCTAGTGAAAAAATGGACGAAGAAAATTTGAATAGTTATGACAAGGAGAACAAAGAAGTTTTGAATTTAACGGAACTAATCAGATCTTCACCTCTGGAGATAGGCGACAAAGGAAATAGTAGGTTTAAGAACATAGGAAAGACGAATGTCTCTGAACTCAAAGTAACTCAGGGTTTAAATGGTAAAATAAATAACGAAAAATCGGTTAAGGTGATGGCTAAATTAGGATCAACTCGTCAATCAAATAGGATAAAAAACTCAACATCTGCAAAACAGAATGATTTTTTATGGTCAATGTAAACCAGAATGGTAGCAATAATTCTAATAAGTTTGTCACACAAACTAATGATTGTTCAGAAATTACCCAAGATGGAAAAATCAATTCATTAGTAAACAGCGAAAACCTTAAACTATTTTTAAAAATTTATCATCAAAACATTTGCGGTCTAGAATTTAAAATCGATGAGTTACTGGCTTCCTTGCATCCAGATTTACCAGATATCTTGTGTATAGCCGAACATCATTTAAGTTCAATACAAATTCAGCTTATTTCACCGGAGGAGTATAGTATTGGTGCCGAATTTTGCAGACAATCCTTCCATAAAGGAGGAGTATGTATGTATATTCATAAGCGGTTTTCCTTCTCAGTAATAAATATAGCAAGACATTGTAAAGAAAAGGATCTAGAAGCATGTGCTTTAAAATTGAAATTATCATCCATAAATGTTTGTATTATTACTGTGTATAGATCACCTAGTGGAAATTTCCAGTGCTTTTTAAATGGCTTAGAAAATATTCTTAAAAAAGTTTACAAATCAGGTATCCATCTAATAATCTGTGGGGATATAAATATAAACTACCTTAATGAATCTAAAGAGAAAAATGAATTAAATAATTTATTAAATTCATACAATCTTGTAAGTATAATTCATTTTCCCACAAGAATTACTAGCAATTCAAAAACTACCATTGATAATATTTTCCTTGATTCTACCAAATTTGTAAACTTTGTAACCTCCTCATTATCAAACGGCTTATCAGATCACGACGCCCAGATGTTAGAAATATATACACCTAAATTAAATTGTAAAAGAGTAAATTATAAAGTTAGAATTATAAGGAAAATTGACTCATACTCTATAATGGAATTTAAAGATAAGCTGAGTGAGGAGCTATGGCAAACCATATTTGATAACACCAACAAAGATGCGAATGATATTTTTTAATTCTTTTTTGAATACATACCTGCAGATTTTTTATTCGTGTTTCCCTAAAATAAAAGTCTATGAAAGAAAGTCAACTAATCAATGGATAACAAAAGGCATAATAAATTCTTGCAAAAAGAAAAAGGAGCTATACTTGTTAATGAGGTCTAATAATGATGAGAAACTGAGAAATTACTATTTAAGGTATAGTAAGATCTTATCAAAAATAATAAAAGCTGCCAAAAAGTTGCACTATAATAATAAAATT